TACATTTCTTTATCTACTACAACATCTTCTTCTGTATTATCCAGTTTAAGATTTGGATTCATAGGAACGCTCGCAGGTTTACACATTGTTGTTCCTGTCTCTTTGAGTAAATCTGTAATGTATTTTTGTTTAGATATGAAAATGCCTTTTCGGGAATGTGCCACCTCAATTCCCAAGGAGTACTTAGCTTTCCAAGACTTTTTATTTCAAACTCCTTAGCCAAACAATGACTTAAGATTTGTTACTCCTTCCAATCTTCTTCTGTCATTATAATGTCATCTACTTATACTAACAGAACTGTTACTCCCCCTTGTGGCGAGTGTTTGATGAACAAGGTGTGATTCCCTTGACTTTGCTTGTACCCTAAAGATGTCATAACCTTAGTGAATCTTCCAAACCATGCTCGAGGTGATTGTTTTAGTCCATATAACGTCTTTTTCAACCTGCAAACTGTATTGTCAGACACATTTTTTTCATACCCCGGGGTACCTGCATATAAATTTCCTCTTCAAGTTCCCCGTGTAAGAAGACATTCTTCACATCAAATTGTTGTAAATCCCAACCATAATTGGCTGCAATTGAAAAAATTACTCTCACTGTATACATCTTTGCAACCAGAGCAAATGTTTCTGAATAGTCAATTCTATAGGTTTGTGTAAACCCTTTGGCAACCAACGTTGCTTTATATCTTTCGATTGATCCATTAGCCTTATATTTTATTGCGTACGTCCATTTGCATCCAACTGACCTCTTTCCTTCTGGTAAAGTCACTAACTCCCAAGTTCTATTCCTCTTCAATGCGTCCATCTCGTTATTCATGGTTTGCTTCCATTTTTTATCAGACAATGTCTCAAAAACATTAGTGGTATGAAAGTAGCGTTTAGGTTTGTAAGGAAGGTTCTATGGGTAGGTGGGAATTTTTGAAAAGAAAGATAGTTTGAAAAGGGATATAAAGGCTGTTTGGTGCATTTTTTGGTACCTTTTCTAACAACAATCAGAAGTTCTAGGTCACCATCTGTAGTTTGGGTCATCATTTTATCTTGTAATTCAGAAGAATTAATCACCTCATTTGAAGAAGTCGAGTCAGACTCTTGAACTTGTGTCGATTCAGGAATGGCCTTTGGCTTTCTCATGTAAACCAGATTCTTTCAATATCTTACATCCACTTCAGGTCCAAGTTCATCTACTGATGTATTTGATTGATTTGATCAACTCTTACTTCTTCAGCCTCAGATGGGTTTGGTGCAAGCAATGTTTAAAAACTCGAGAGTTTACACAAAATTGATAGAGGATTCAAAAATTGTAACTCGAGGATTGTAGCTCGGATCGTAAGATCCTACTACATGTAGAAAATCACTGAAGCGACGTCGACATCTGGTTGAATGAAAAAGAATTCATCCAAATAGAAAGCTTGACGGTGAAAGAGTTAGAAGAAACTTGAATGTGAAAGAGAAAAGATGAAGTGATTTTGTTTAATAATTTGTTAGTAGGAAGAAGCTTGAATATTAATGAGGAAAAAGTAATCGAAAAAAGAAAATTTATGTTAGGAATAATTTTGTAACAGTTGAGTCATTCCTTAAATCAATACTTTCTCTTGAAAAAGTGAAATTTTGATCAGTATTTAATACGTTTATCTTGGAAAAGAGAAATTTTGATCAATATTTAATGAATTCCTATTTTAAAAAAATAATAATAAATCAGTATTTAATGAAACTCGACCCGATCCAGACCCATTTTAGATAATTAGGGTTTTTTCTAAATAAAACCCCTTAAAACAGAAGCGCCGCCTTGTATGATGGAAAACGAGTCACAACTTCAACTCGGCCGAGTTTACCTCCGACTCAGCACGCTAGAATGCTTCTGAAATGTAAACTCGGGCGAGTTAGCGAGTCAACTCGCGATTCTGCATACACTGGGTGCAAGTGTGTTTAACTCAAGACCAGAAAGATTGGACCTATTTGGCTCGAAATTGGAAGAATAAGGTGGATTTGACTCGAGACTAGAGAGATTGAGTGTGTTTAAGTCATGACCAAAATGAGTTAGATCGAGTGTATTTGAGTCATGACCAGAATGACTAGATGCATTTGACTTAATACTAGACAGATTGAGTGTATTTGACTCAAGACCATAAAGATTGAGACTTTCAAGCTTACCTTCCTTAAAATTCTCCTCCTGAAGATAAGGTTGAGTGAAGTATGATTCCTTCTCATGAAAGGTAACATCCCGCGACACAACTTTTTAGATGGAGGATGGAAACACTTATATCCCTTTTTGAGTAGAGGAATACCCGACAAAAACACATCCAAAGATTCTAGGTCTAGGTCAAGTTTTTTTCTGTTTTGACCATGCACATGGACAAATGAGACACACCCAAAGATTTTAGGTTTAAGATTACTACTTACTAACAAATTTGGATAGAAAGAAGAAAGAACATCCATATATGACTCTTGAACCCTAATACTCTAGAAGGTAATCGTACTCTTTTCCATTATCAGACCTAAACCTTTTAATGTTCACTCCAAATTGATTTTTAATCATGTAGAAAAACTTTGGGAAAACAGTACTAACGTCAGACTTGTTTTGGAGTAAAAACACCCAAGTAACTCAGGTACAATCGTCTATAAAGGTAATAAACCACCTAGCACCTGTTACATTTGGATTGGTAGAGGGACCCCAAACATCAGAATGAATAAGATAGAAGGAGGAAAAACTTCTTTTGTTGTTTAATGGAAAAGGTAGACGCTTATGTTTAGCAACCTCGTACACATCACAATGAAGGCTTTAAATATCTACCTTATTGAATAAAGATGGAAACAAAATTTTAATGACTCCCAAAGAAGGATGACCTAATCGCCAATGAAAAAGAAAGATTTTTTCCTTTTTAGAGAGTACTGACTCTATATAAATGACTGGAACAAGTGGACTTTTGTACTCTGACCCGATTTTTCAACATAGTAAAGACAATTCCTTTCTCTAGTATGTCCAATCGTCTTTTCCGACTCTTTATCGTGAAATATACAACAATCATTATGAAAAGTCACAGTACAGAATAAATCGTTTGTAAGTTTTTGTATGGAGACAAGGTTCGTAGAGGACACTTTTTAGGGTTATAGAATGATTTATTTGGATATCTCCAATGCCAGCTACAGTTACAAGAGTACCATTCGCAGTAGAAATTTTTTTATTACTAGGACAAGGGGAATATGCGGAGAACTGTTTCGAAGAGGGTGTCATGTGGTTTGTGGCTCCTGAATCTAATATTCAAAATAAGCAAGAAGGTGTTTTTGAGACATGAAATACAAATGAGAGTGAAATTTTACCAGAATACACCACACTGCAATTACCTGATGACCTTTCCATGATATTGGTCATAAAGGAAATAGAAGCAACCACCAAATATTTATGTATAAGATATCAAAGAAAATAAGATTTGATAAAAAAATCAATCCAGAAAATGTAGGGACAACGTCTGGTACTGTGTAGACGGCTGTTGAAAAATGTGCAGAGTTGTATCGACGGTGACAGAAAACTGTACGAGCAGCTTCTGGAAAGTGTAGAGACAACGGCTAGACAGACAGCTACTGGAAAAAGTACGAAATTGTGCAAATGGAGGGTAGAAAGAACAGACGGTATTTAATTGAAAAAACTTGATAGCAAGTGTTGCCCAGTCAAGATTTAAGGGTTCTGACAGCATAAAAATGTTCAGTCAGATCTCTAAATAATGATTAGCGGAAGTAAAGTCCCATAGATTATGAGCTCTGATGCCATGTGAAAAATAAAAATAATAAATTTTCTGAATGTGTTTGAGTGAATAAAACACTCAGCAACTATGATAGTTATACACACTATATAATTAGTTACATATTATGTTTACAAGGAGAAATAAATAATAATCCAACTTCTTAACTGCATGAATCTAAATATACATGAATCTGAGACTTAAATGCTCATTTTAGTAGAAAACATACAATTTATTTTTTCTATTTCCAACACATGCTCGGTGATTTTGCACTTACACACTGCGTACCTTCTTTCTCTATTCTGCTTGTTTTTTGGATTCACATTTCTCCCATATGATCTATTGGTGGTTTTTAAGTGGACAACTGGACGTAATGCCAAATATTTATTGATGGAACAATTATATTTACGCTTCTGTGCACCGCCCCAACCCCAATGAATTGGCATACTATCTCTCTATCGTATAACCTGTTCCCAACTTGAGATACATCAAATGTGCTCCAGGAAAAGGTCTTGTGTATGAGGATAAAAGACATACCCAGATAATTGGATACTCTGATGCTGATTGGGCAGGGTCACCCATTGATAGACGATCCACCTCTGGGTATTGTGTACTTGTTGGAGGAAACCTTATATCCTGGAAAAGTAAGAAACAAAATGTAGTTGCAAGATCAAGCGCCGAGGCAGAGTATAGGGCGATGGCAATGGCAACATGTGAACTTATTTGGTTAAAACAGTTGCTCAAGGAACTTCAAATTGAAGAAGCAAGACCAATGACACTTATTTGTGATAATCAAGCTGCATTGCACATTGCTTCAAATCCAGTCTTTCATGAGAGGACCAAACATATTGAGATAGACTGTCACTTTGTCAGAGAGAAGATCGAGTCAGGCGACATCGTCACAAGCTTTGTCAACTCTAATGATCAATTGGCAGATGTGTTTACAAAATCCCTACGAAGCCCCAGAACTAACTATATATGTAACAAGCTTGGTGCATTTGACTTATATGCTCAAGCTTGAGGGGGAGTGTTGATATTTGTAAATATATATATAAAGTGTTAAGAATATTTGTATATAGAATAGTCCCACATCGACTATATTATGTAATTAGGTGTAATCTATTTATATATAATAATGTCTCCGTAGTGCTTTTCAAGACACACGGTTTATTCATGTCTCTTAATCTCTTGTATTTCAACATAGAAGTACCTGTAGAAAATTTGTACTATTATTAAACCTAGCTACGTAATTCTGGTACAGGCATGTGAAACCTCCTATTTTTACTCTCTGTGTTGGCAATGCTTGGGGAGAGGCAGCCTTACTTTTGGCTTCTGGTGCAAAGGGTAACCGTTCTGCTTTGCCATCATCAACTATAATGATAAGAGAGGTTTGATGTCAACCATTTAATACTATACTCAGTTTATTTTATGTGTTTGATTATCTTTTATTAAACACTTTAACCTTGTTATCTTTTTCAATTTGCAGCCAATTGCACGGTTTCAAGGTCAAGCAACAGATGTCAACCTTGCAAGAAAAGAAATCACGAGAGTGAAGAAAGAATTGGTTAGGATAATAACTGTTTAGATTACTTCAATCTAATTTTAAATAGTTAAGGTTCTGTTGTAAGCGACCACTGCCATTTGCAAATCTAAGCTATGTAGACAAATGCATACCTCTTTGCTTGTACTCGACTGAAATATCAAAATGAATTTTGCAAGCAAAATATTTCTTGGATCCCTTCAACCGCAAAAATTGAGATTATGAAAATGACTTGTGTTTTAAAAGTTATATATATTTGGGGTTCACAATAAACTCTGTTTTGAAGTATGGACTCTTATCGGTGTAGTTTTAAGTCATCATCCGTGACAAAGATTGATATATGGGTTATTATGGTAACTGACATGCACACTGTTTGATTTATTTCAAGGTTAAATTGTTAGCCAGACACACTGAAAAAACAACTGAGCAGATTGAAGCTGATGTTCGACGTCCAAAGTATTTTAGTCCCAGTGAAGCTATTGAGTATGGAATCATAGACAAGGTATTTTCCATACCTAGCATAGACTGTTTTTTTCTCTTCTTGGAGTCGGTTATTTACTTTGCGAACTAAAATAAACTGTCGTTTTGCAGGTATTGTACAATGAGAGGGGCTCTAAGGATCACGGCGTTGTTTCTAACCTTAAAAAGGCACAGCTTATTTGACTTCCGGGAGATTAAACCCTATTTTCTTCAAGTTAAGGTAATGTATATCTGGTGTTATTGTCATGTTAAAAATTGAATGCAACTTCAACATTGAATAAATTTATCAAAGTAGAAGAGTGAATGATCACCATTAACCAACACTTTTTTAATGCTGTGGTTCTTCATTATTGTTTGCCTGGTTGTTTGTGGTGTCTAGCAACTTGATGCATGTGAAGCCAGGGTTGGTCGATTAGGCAATCACCTGTTTTTATCATTTTACCCTTCCCACTTAGCATTATCCGTTGCTTTTGGTATTGGCAACTATAAAATGGTTATTTGGAAGTAGTCTAATGACTGCACCAACCACGAGTTAATGTTCCATTTACGTGTAAAGTAAAGTCTAAAAGCTCTAACGTTTAAACTTGCTTGGGAAAATCATCATCCTTTCAATTGACCTCTCACTCTGAAATGACCTGAAGAGTGATTTTTAACTTGTGTGGTTATTCTTTATTGGGGCTTGTTTAATTTGTGGCTTGTGTGATCATGATTCATGACTACAGAAATTTGCGTGGAAATGAAGGACAGCAGCCAAACAATACAACTGTGCCAAGTCCTGGTATAGTTAAACCTGCAACATTGGAATCTCATGTTTATAACACATAGACTGCATTTGCGTCCCCTAAGAAAAGGCAGTAGGAACAAATATCTACGTGTTTGTAAAATTCTGTATACATGATTGTATTCTGGTTTATTCAAATTTGAAATTTTATGAATGGTTGTCTCACTACATAAAAGAAATGCAACATCGCGATTAGACAGACAGAGAAATGCACTACAGAAGTGCAAAAGCGAGCGGTGAGAGAAGAATTCATTAGTAATTTGAGTGGAGCATTTAGCGTTAAAATGAAATAATGATCGACTTTAAAATTCAAAGCACTGTCCTTCACAGTGTTTAGCATATCAATTAACAACAGCTGCATGTTAAGCTCTGTTTGCAAGTTTGGAACCACCAGATGGATGGCTTGGCTTAAGAAGCACCTACTTCAGTCCCACTTATATGATTCCGCCCAACACGTAACGGATATACACGTGGTAGTTACATATTTGTATTTTATAAATCTCACATCAAATATCTGTCTCTCTGGCATTAGAAAAGCAGTAATAGGAGACCACCTTCTAATTCTCCTTCTACTTAACAAGCCGGCGGCAGGTACAAAATAAAGTGAATAAATGCCGCCATTATTTATTACCATCCTCAAATTACCTTAATTGTCCTTCATATAATAACTCCGTAATCTATTCAAAAACATATTCAATAATTTGTTGTTGGATCAGAAAGTAATTCAACTTGTTGAAGTAGATGAGTATAAACCGTTTATTAAGGTTAAAATTTTTTACATCAATATTTTTTTTATTGTATATAACAATTTTTAATTAAAATATTAAATTATTTTTTAAAAGTATTAATATAAAAAAAATTTAAAAATATAAAATATCTTGCAGATGAACTATAATGGCAAAACATTATCATTAATTGTTGTCCATACAACCACATTTCTCAACACATATGGAGGTCCGAGACAAATGATAAAATGTGATTTTAAAAAAAATTAAAAATATAAAATATCTTGAGATGAACACGAACTAATGATCTTAACATGCTAATACTCACAGTTACCATTAGGTTACATGCTAAATATTATTTATTTTTTGAAAACAAAATTGTATTTAGAAATTTCTTAACGTATTTTATATGTTTTTTAGACATCATACGAAAATTTAAAAATATTTACAGTTTTTGAAAATGTATCTCTGGACGCATCTCAACACATTCAACGCATGCTATTCTGAGCGACGCCTAATTATTTAGTTATTTTTATTTCAGAGACGTATCTCTGGAATATTCCCAAAGTTACATTTTCGTAACAGACACAGTAGTATAATCAAAAACATGTAATTTTTCAAAATGAAATTAGATTCATAAAATAAAATTAGAATTACATAGATCATTTCAACATAAAATGCAACATTACTTCAATATCCAAGTGGACGCTTCAACATCTTTGCAATATCTTCGACTGATCTTGAAATCGTCGCTTCTAACTTGAGTAAAACTTTAGTTTCGAAACGGAAATACGTATTCCACACAGCCTTTACATCTGTTTGCGTTTTGAGCTTAAAATTTTGAACTTAATCTTCCTCCCGTTATCAATCGACGGTGAACGGTACTCAAACTTCACAATCCTTCGATTGTCTCTATAAGGTATGAGATTGTGGATTTAAGTTAGTTTTTAATTATCCTAATATTTTTTTTTATAATAATATTTGTTAGATTTTATTATATTTGATAATCTTTTTAAAATTATATATTATAATTCTTATATTTTTATAAAATTTTTGATGTTCTCTGATTGAATCGTCAATGAATTTGCACTTGAATTGTAAATGGTAAATATCATGAGTTTTATGGTAAAATTACAAGGATAAAAAAGTAAATTAGTTTTAAAATACCTCCCCTCCTCTTGTGAACCAAACATATTTGTAAATAAAATTCCTCCACTCCCCTCCCCTTTCATATTTTGAACAAAACATATATGTAATTAAAATCCCTCCCCTCCCTTCCCCTCACCTCCCCTCCCTTTGATAAAAACCCCTCCACTCGATTGAATCAAACAGACCCTAAACGTTTGCCCGAGTGTAGAGATGGAGAATGCGACATATCGATTGATATTTATTTGTGACATTTGAGACACTTTCAATTTGTGTGAAATATAACATAAGAGCATTTTAGTTTATAAAAGCCATAGATCAATATGCACCACTCAATAACTAACATGCTGATTCTGGAGATATATCTCTGTTTTTGCACCCTATTATCTTGTTCCGGAGATACATCTCCGAAACTTCTCTTAATCCAATTCCAAAACAGAACCTTTTCTTTTTTACAAAAGAACAAATGTTGTTTTGGGGAAGATAAAAAATGCATTAAGACATAATATGAACAAATGTTAAATATATTACACTTCATTTATATTGAGACACAATTACATACACTTATTTGTCTGGATAAACAAGAAATTAAAATGAATCAAAACATTTTTTGTCGACTAAATCTATGGGCGGTACCCCCTTGAACTTTTATGCATTTGATTCTTTTTCAATGTTGTTCAATTTCTCAAACTCTTGCATCATTTCCATAAAATGATCCGACCAAGTCTCTTCTTTTGTTGTTGAATGAGCCTTCCACTCCGGTGATGTAAGTGATATAGGGCATTCCGGTTTCAAGTAAACTTGAACAAAATGACTTGATTTGAAAGTCACCCAATACACATAATATGATCATTTGGATTTTAAGGCGGAGCAGTGTGTAGTGAAAACATGGTTTTCAAAAAACCGTATCGTGTCAGATCAACACACACTCTATCATACACACATGCTATTGGGTGACCTATTTCAGAAAAGCACATCCACTTTGCCTCCGACGCCGGACCACTAAGGCAAGGAACAAGAGACTCATAAACTTCATCGCCTTTTTGTTTCTTCTCGTGAAACTGTTTGTATGATTCTTTATGCGTCTTTAACTCTTGGATAACTTGATGGCCAACAAGTGTATGATTATCTTCTCCTTTACCGAGTAAAGCTGAAACTGCTCGATAACCGCAATTACTGTCTTTGAACAGCATTGAAGATCCGCTCGATATATTTGTGCATAAAAACCAGCATCTCGTCAATAAATGGAATCTTTGGTGGGGCAGTGTAGGAGGTGGTTTGCTAATGCGAGCTCCTTTGACAACACTTTTTTTTGTTGAGATTTTGGAGTTGGTAAGTCGGGAAAAACTTTGTCAACATGTTCAAAATATGAAGGAGATCGTGTAATCGAATTGTCATTTGACGTATGGTTTATTTTCTTCGGAGTACCTTTTATTTTTATCGGTTAAGAGAGAGGTTTCATGTCGGTCGTTTCCAGATAGGCAGTCTTCCTCAATTGTTCTTTGATGTGGAGTCTCATGTTGTCACCAGAGTCCTAATCTCTACAATACTGCTCCGACAAAATGATGTCTATATCTCATTATGCTGGTTTTGAATCATGTTGTTCGTGGAGTCCTAATCTCTACACAAGTCGCCCTTACTTTTTTCCAACCAAATTTTCAAAGTAGCATGGACAGACTCAACTCTGTTAGTTGTTGTATTTCCAAAGTGTCTAAAATTATCAGTCCATGCACAAACAATTTTCTCCTTCACCTGGTCGAGAATTATGCTTTCAACATATTTCAACAAATCTGGATACTTTTCACACACTTTTCTGAAATGCATAACGGAATCGACATGTAATTCTTTTGTGAAAAAATTTATTATACGATTCCACGCATCCATTATTTTTTCCACAACCACACACACCTTTACCATTTTTCCATCTTCGGACTCTATCTGTTTCATCTATACCACAGGTTTAACCTGACTTCTCACATTCTTTGTTATGTGATACCTACAAAGTAATGCATTCAAAGAAGGAAATTACTTTGCAACCAAATTCATCAAGGAGGTATCGCGGTCGGTAACAATAACTTTAGGCATCTCACCTTGGTTCTTCAACAGTGTCCGACACACCTCTAAGGTCCAAGTAAAACTGTCCTTTTTTTACACTCATGAAATGAAAACCCAACAAAATATGTCTTCTCAATTGAGGTAACACCAACCATATCAATAGGGGTGAAAATAGGCTGGGTCGAGTTAGGCTTTGCCAAGCCTAAGCTTGACCTGCCAAAAAAACTGAAGCCTAAGCCTGACTTGTAGCCTGTCATAGGCTTATTTTTTAGGCCTGAACCTGGCCTTTTCTAAGGTCTGGTTGACCTATTAGCCTACATAAAAGCTTATTATTTTAGACATATGCAAATAAGAAATTAAAATAATGTTTAAATAGACTAACAAACTAAAAAGCCAACGAGACAAAATTTTATTTGCATTGACTTATTTTAACTTACCTATTAGCATAAGTTTTGTGAGACTATTTGTTTAAGATAACTTATGAAAACAACTTATACCATTGTTCATAAGATTTTTTCATCTTATTTTCATAAGTTCTCCAAGATAACCAAATTTTATTTATCTATTTTAACTCAAAGTACAAAACATAACATAATGATAATAAAAAAATATTCATATATATTTAAATAGGTCGGCCAGTTAGGCTTAAAAGTCTTTTTTTTTATGGCCCAAGGCCTAACCTTTTAAACTAAATATGCTTATAAAAAAGCTGATGCCTTTTCTATTTAAAAAAAAATCTTGGCCTGGCCTAAGCCTGTGTAGGCTAGCCTGTAGGCCCCTGTTATCGGCCTGACATATTTCCTCCCCTACATATCAATAATGGAAGTCTATAGGTCTTATAGGTTGAGTCAAGTATGAACACAATAGGAAATGTGTTGAACAACTTTATAGAATCAGGATGAGTCCAAAATATATCTCTAACAATATCATTATGGAAATGTTATACATGTTCTATAGATACATTTATGGACATAACACTCGTTTTTTCAAACAAAATGCTTGATTAATGTGAGTAATGTAGTGGAAAACAAATGATTTTTACCTGAAATTCTATTTTTTTTTGCTCCCTGTGATGTGCTGAACCACAAGTTGGAGATTTGAAGTGAAAATATGGATTGAGAATGGAGAGATTTTTGGTGAGGGTTTGTGTTGGAAAAAAACAATGACAACAATGGCTGTGTGATTCATGGCACCGTTTCTTTTATCAAATTAGTCCGGAGATGTATCTTCGGAAATATTTGACATGTAAATGTGATATAATATTTCAAAATCCTGCCTAAACTTTCAGAGATGTAGCTCTGGAATTTCTACTGAACTGATCAATAATTAATATATTTTTTGAAATGTTCCAAAGATGCATCTCCAGAATAAAAATAACCCTATTTATAGGGTGCCACTTAGAATGATCCACATTGAGTGTGTAATAGGTGCGTCTGGAGATGTATCTCCGAAAATTAAGGAACACTTTTAACATTTTCGCATAGTGGCTAAGAAACTTATGGGATGCATTAAAAAATCCTCTTGTATTTGACTTATTTCATTAAATTTCTATAAAGTCCAACACAATATTCAGACCATAAATTATTTGAGGCCATGCGCTGTGGTCTTCTTGCACATGCATGCACAGGGTCAGTCCTGTTATTTTGACTACCACTAACCATCACTTTAATTGCCATTGTGCAATAGTCACAACTTCGACTATCAACAACCACCACTTAAGCCATTACCGACCATTACGTTATCGATATATAATCTCCAATCTAACCATCAACGGTTATCATTATGACCACTATTTTGACCATTGTCAACCACCACTCTAATTATTGTTGATCCCTACTCGAACTATTATCGATCACTCCTTCATCCAACTCTAATAACCACTCAGACAATCATCAATCACCACTCAGACACCACTCTAACCATAATCGCTTGCTATCCCGTTCTAGATCACCAATTTGATTAGTAATTATAATTTTAACTACCATTATAATTATCATAAGTGATACTTTAACTACCATTATGATTATCATAAATTATCGCTATCACTCCGGCCACCATAAGTCAACACCAATGACTACTACTTCAATAACTATTTCGATCTTTAAAAACCACCACCGCAGACGTCCATTGATAACTATCGCTACAATTATGTATTGAAATAAATATACTATATTGTAATATCTTGCAAACTTTAGTAATTGTTTAGATACACATATATCATTAGCCTTTCCCTATTTCAATTTAGATTTTTGTGATTGAAGCTCTACGTGTACATATCATTATCATCTCATTCATTTTGCATATCATATAGTCCCTAAGTGGGGGAGAAAAGTTAGACTCCCACCTGTCCTGCAAAGTATGGCTTGTGTCTACAATAAATATTACCCCATCCCATTTCTTAGCTTCCCATCTCATAAACCTTTGTGTACTCTTAATAACCATTTCAACATGGAACTCACTTTTAACCACCAACTTGGCCTTGCCTGTGTCATACTTCTCTTACCTCATCTTTGTCTCTCACAAGACTCTTTTACGGACTCCAGAGCAACTTATTACGGTAGTCCAGATTGCTACGGGACTCCAAGTATATGTCACCTTCTTCCTCTTCTACTTAATCTTGCTACTTACTTTACTTCTTTCTATCTTATATATTTGTTCATATATATATTTTAGGGGGAGCTTGTGGCTTTGGAGAATACGGAAGGACAGTGAATGATGGCAGTGTCGCAGGTGTGTCTAACCTATGGAAGAATGGTTCTGGATGTGGTGCATGCTATCAGGTAGAAAAAAAATTATTTACATAACAAAAACTATTAATTTCCACTAATGTTGGTGATGTTTGATTTATAATTAGGTGCGGTGTAAAATACCTCAATACTGCGATGAAAATGGAGCAAACGTTGTGGTAACAGACTATGGTGAAGGAGATAGAACAGACTTCATAATGAGTCCACGCGGCTACTCAAGATTAGGACGCAACGAAGACGCATCTGCTGAGCTTTTCAAATATGGTGTAGTAGATGTTGAATACAAAAGAGTGCCATGCATGTACAATGGCTATAACATAGTGGCTCAAGTTCATGAAGAAAGCAAAAAGCCTGATTACTTTGCTGTTGTGGTTCTATACGTAGATGGAATGTTTGATGTTAATGCGGTTGAGATTTGGCAGGAAGATTGCCAAGAATGGAGGCCAATGAGGAGAGCCTATGGAGTAGTGTTTGACATGGCCAACCCTCCGAGTGGTGAAATATACTTGAGGTTTCAAGTGAGTGGAAATGGAGGTGTTTATTGGGTGCAGTCGAAGAATGCTATTCCTAGTGATTGGAAAGCTGGAGTTGCTTATGACACCATGGTTCAGCTTAATTAGAATTAGAAATTAGAAAGATCTCAGTCTCACTATGTGTTGATAGTGATGCTCCTTTGTCTTAAGGTCTCTAAATAAGAATTCATGTACTTTCATCTGAGACTATATGGAATTTGAATAAAATAAAATTGACTACCCTTTCTCATCTCTTGTCTTAAGTATTTGATCATCAGAGTCATCCAACTTGCTTCAATTTTGATGATCAAAATAATCGCTTTTGCTTATGTACTTGGTACCGGATCGTTTCTTGAATTATCTCTATGTAGTTTCTTTAATTTTTGGTACTTGGGAGCTTTGAAAAGAGGTCAACTCTAGAATTCTCTCGCTTGGAACATCGAATGAATTCATAGAATTGAAAGATCTTAGACAATAATAATTTCCAAGAAATTTTCTCTTAAAAATTTAACAATAATATTAATTTTGTCGAAAACTATGATGAATGTGACAAAGCAATCGCCAATTAATATAATCAAATCCACAATAATATCCGTATATGGATTCTGATCCCAGTTCTTTATAACCATTATGCCACTTATTGATCTCCAAACAACAATTTTGTTATAGCACTCCATCTTTCCCAACTAATTCCATCAAGAACCAAAATGTTTGCCATCTGTGTTCATTTTTGCTGACCAAGAAAACTGAAAAAATTGCTCCTCACTTTGTGTTTTTCATGTCTTTACATTGTATTGATACCAACTCAGGTATTTAGGGATGTTCATGACGGTTAATTTTCATAACTAATCCATAACTATAAATAATCTATATGTTATAATCGGTTATTAAAACCAATTGTCATAACCGATTTTCATTTTTGTAAAATAATTATAAACCAGTTATTAACCGATTATATCCATATAGATCATCTTAATGAGTCAATATATTCACCTTTCAATTTCAATGACATAAATACCACTTTACCAAAACAACTCAAACTCTATGAAATAAATAACTAGACACACCACTACATTTGTTACAGAAATCCATTATAGATGTGTCTAATAGCAAAGTTAAAATATAAAGTAATTAATAGAGTACTACAAATGTACTACAACAATTTATTTAATTTGATTGATTAATACTCCAATATTATTTAGTATGAGATGGAGTCAAGTTACAGAAATCCATTATATTTTGAAAAGCAGCAGCAACAACAAGAAACAGTTTATGTATGGCATTCTAAACTGCTTTTCTTTGTGTACAAGTAGTTATTAAGGCTGAATCTTGGTGGAATAAGTAGCACCAGCCTTCCAACTGGCAGGTATTGTGAAGCGCACCCAACTGGACCCAGCATTGCTACTCACTTGAAACCTCAATCCGATTTCACCTTCAGGCGGGTTAGCAAAGTCAAATACAGCGCCATAAGATCTACGCATGGCCTCCCATTGGTGCTGTTGTTTCTGCATAATTGATTAGTAGAAGTTTAATTCATGTCTCATAGGAACAAATGTTAAATATAAGTATATATCATACCTGCCAGATCTCAACAGCGTTGACATCGTATGTTCCTCCAACATAAAGAATATTGATAGCGAAATAGCCTGGGTTTCTACTATTTTCATTGATTTGGTATACGATATTGTTGCCTTTAAATGTACAAGGAACCCTTTTGTATTCAACATCCAATACTCCATATTTCTTTAATTTTTGGGACGTAACTGCATTGCGCCCCAATCTTGAAAAGGCACGTGAACTCAATATGAAATCAGTCCTATCTCCCTCACCATAGTCTGTCACCACCACATATGCTCCATTATCATCACAATATTGTGCTATTTTGCACCTCACCTAAATCAACATTCGTGATCATTAATTAATATCATGTAAACAACTATATATACATACTGAAAATGAAGGAAAAGCTAGAAAAAGTATACTTGATAACATGCACCACATCCTCCTCCATTTTTCCACAACTTGGCAGAAACTGCTGCGACACTGCCATCATTCACTATCTTTCCATAGTCTCCGAAACCACAAGCTCCCCCTGAATCAAATATATATGAGTTAATCATATCTAGCTAGAAGTAGAAATGGAGGATGTCAATCACATTAATTATACATACTTGGATTTCCATAGCCGTCAGAGGTGCCATAATAGGATGCTCTTGATTTGGCATAATATTCTTTGTTGCAGTTACATAGTACTGGAAACAACAGTATAACACAAACAACGCTTATTTGATACTTAAAACCAAGCGCCATATGTCTTAAATGTATAATCAAATGCAATAAACAGTGACTTTTATTTTTTACTTTGAAGGTATATAAGCAATAAACAAGAGAACTTTGAGATGAAAAACAAAGATACCGTAACATAAGTATTTATACTACCCAACCTACCGCATACCGGTGGCGATGAAACCACCGTTTTAATTTCTTCAACTTTTGTTTTAATGCATACTTGTTTTGAAATTCTTTTGTTGGGTCAAAACCAAAGGGTTGGATCAAATAGTATACATAGGGAGAACGTGTATGTAGAATGAGTCTATATGTGACAGACTTCATCATCATCCTTTGAATAATAATGTAGATGATATAGAAACGTCTACACAACTTTGCGGCTGGTTGATTATTACTTTTCATGGTTCCAGATTGCAGGCAGACCCATTTATTCTAAGGTCAGCTAGCAATGTTTTTGCTGCAATTCTCTCATAGATTCGTTATTTAATTAACTAGTTAAATAATATTTACACACTAATAAACATATTATAACTACTCCGGTTTTGTAAGCCACGTGGATATGTATCAAAAGTACGACCAATGGTAAGTTTAATTTATGCTCATTTTAATTTTTAAGAATTTAATTATTTTACACAATCAACTAATCACTCTCATATATCGGGTCACATAAATTTTAAGTTAATGATATTAAATGACAGATTAATAAATTTTTATTGGATGACAATATAAAATTGTTTTACACGGTTGGTGCATATCAATTAAACTCAATTTTTAATAATTGAGATTAATTGTTATGCATTGGTCAGTGTAAAACAATTTACATTGTCAATGCATCAGAACCATCCGTTTGTATTACTTTTCAAGTGATTAAAATAAAAATTAAATATTACAAATGAATCAATAGTTGAGATTAAGTGACGATGTAAAAAGGTTTTATATTTTAATGCATATCAATTAAATTTTTAATAATTTAGTATAAATATAATAATATATACTTTTTTAAAATTTAATAATAGCTTGTTATACTCATAATGATAAAGCATATAACTTATTTAAATACATCATCATGACATAGAAAAATATTTTATATTGTTTTAGGTTTTTATATTTCAATCAAAATACAATATCCACTCTAGTCAGAGGAAGATATGTTAGGTTAGAAGTTCAAATATGTTTTATAGATAACTATATTATTGATATAAGTATGTTCGTCCTAGTCAAATTATTAAATTAAATAAAAGTAAGAGTCGAATACAACCTATAGTTGTTAGATTGAGTAAGCATATATTTGAAAATTTGTAAGTTTGTATTTTTGATTGCCTATATATAAAGAGGTGACAATGTAAACACTTAATAGCTTTTCAATATAGCAATTTTATTTTATAAAATTCTCTATTCACATATAATATCTCTCTCTCTCTCTCTCTCTCTCTCTCTCTCTCTCTCTCTCTCTCTCTCTCTCTCTCTCTCTCTCTCTCTCTCTCTCTCTCTCTCTATATATATATATATATATATATATATATATATATATATATATATATATATATATATATATATATATATATATATATATATATATATATATATATATATAATCTTCTTCGTTCTTCTTGCACTACGCCAGAATTGACATTTAGCAGCGCATACAAAGACAACGCTTTTAGAAAAAGCGCTACTAAAGAGGAATAAAAAAAAAAGAAAAAAATTGATAACCAAAGACAGCGCTTCTAAAAAGCGCTGCTAAAAAGGGGGTCTAAGACAGCCCAAAGACAACGCTTTTTAAAAAGCGCTGCTAAAGGGGGTCCTAAGGCAGCGCTTCCAAAAAGCGATGCTAAATGGGGGGTTTAAGACAGCCCAAAGACAATGCTTTTCTAAAGCGCTGCTGTAGGTCTAGTCTACGAGAGCGCTTTTTCCATAAAGCGCTGCTATATGGGGTACATTAGAAGGTCTTTGAGAGCGCTTTTTAAAGCGCTGCTAAAACTATTAAAAAGCGCTGCTATAGGTTTATTAGAATTAATTTAAAATATCCACCAGAATTTTTATGAGAAACAGAACAGTCATTACGTATTTCTTTCTTTCTTTTTCTCTGGTGAACAAAGAACGTTGCCCTATAAACCCACCGTTGCCGTCCAACCGTCGCCGTCCGTCCAACCGTCGCCCTCCTCTGTTGCATTTCGTCGCCGTTCACCGTCCATTTGCTCGTCTGCATTGCATTTTCGCCATTGTTACGGTATTTGAAGTTTTACTCTGGTTTTCTTTTTTACGTATATTTTCACCATTGTTGCTGTAATCCTTAAGTAGAACTGAATATGTTTTTATTATTTGAATGCAATCAAGTTAAGTAGAACTGAATATGTTTTCACCATTGTTGTTGTAATCTTTAAGTAGAACAGAGAGTTTTCATTTGAGAGTTTATATGAGAGTTTATATTTGAGAGTTTATATATGAGAGTTAAGTATTTGAACTGAATATGTTTTCTACAAGAGTTTATATTTTTTAAGAGAGTTTATATTTTGTATGTTTTAAGAGAGTTTATAAGAGAGTTTTGTTTGTGATAACTGTTTGGTCATGAAATGTTTAAGAGAGTTTATAAGAGAGTTTATAAGAGAGTTTTTAAGAGAGTTTTTAACCATTGTTTGAGAGAGTTTCAATGTTTAAGAGAGTTTCACCATTGTTTGTGATAACTGTTTGGTCATGAAAATGCAATGTTTATAAAAGAGTTTATAAGAGAGTTTTTAAGAGACTTTTATATGTATAAGAGAGTTTATATTTTTTAAGAGAGTTTTATATGTATAAGAGAGTTTTATATTTTTTAAGAGAGTATAAGAGAGTTTTTAAGAGAGTTTTATATTTTTTAAGAGAGTTTTATATGGATAAGAGAGTTTATACATATATTTTTTAAGAGAGTTTTATATGTATAAGAGAGTTTATATTTTTTAAGAGAGTTTTATATGGATAAGAGAGTTTATAAAACCAACATGAATATGGTTTTATATGATATGGTTTTATATGTTATTATGGTTTTATATGTTTAGTTAAGATTTCTCAATGTTTAGTAAGGGTGTCATTTTGGTTTAAGGATTATCTAGTAATTTTAATATGATTTGTTTTGGTGGATTATCTAGTATTTTTGTATTGGTTAATTATTAATATGATTTTAATAAAATTTATATTTTGTCTGCTATAGGGGTTACCTGTGAAGATAAGCAAAGTTGTGATCGTTTCCAAGCATCCTATTGCGTAGCATTCTTAGAAGTTAGTGATTTCCTTACAAGTATTCTCTGTTTTGTTTAACTTTTATAGTTTAGTGTAGATTACTCAATTAGTATGGATAAAAAATGGATGTCTGGTAATCGATTGTCAAAAGAGTACGAGAATGGGGTATCGAAGTTCGTTAAGTTTGCTGTTGAACACGCCAAAGACCCCAGTAGGATCACATGTCCTTGCTTAGGATGCTGTTATGGGCGTCGAGTTGACGCCGTTCAGTTGGAATCTCATTTAATGAGACATGAAATTGATCGAAGTTACACATGTTGGACATTACATGGTGAGATAAGTAACGAGAATGTTGAACCCCGGAATAATACGACATGTGCTTCAAAGGACAATGGCAGGGATACATATGATTGTGATCGAGTCGAAGAGATTGCAGAAGCACTTGAAGAAGATCTTCAAGATTGTCCCAAGATGTTTGAGAGGTTGGTAAGCCATGCAGAGAAACCGTTGTATAAAGGTTGCACTACTTTCACAAGATTGTTCGCGGTATTAAAGTTGTACAATTTAAAGGCGGGTAATGGATGGTCGGATAAAATTTTCACAGAGTTGTTAGCCCTACTTCAAGAGATGCTTCCGGGGGATAATGCTCTTCCAAATCAAACCTATGAATCTAAAAAAATGTTATGCTCTATTGGCATGAGCTATGATAAGATACATGTTTGTCCAAATGATTGCATTTTGTTTCGAAATGAATATGCATCATTAAACGAGTGTCCTAAATGCGGTGTATCTCGGTATAAGAAAAAATTGTCACCAGCAAAAGTATTATGGTATTTTCCTATAATTCCGAGATTCAGACGCATGTTTCGTAGTGAAACAGATGCAAAACACCTGACTTGGCATGCAGATGATAGAATTGTAGATGAGAAGTATCGACATCCGGCAGATTCACCACATTGGATAAAAATTGATAATGATTATCCTAATTTTGGACAAGAAGCTAGAAACCTTTGCTTGGCATTATCGACTGATGGAATGAATCCACATGGTCTGCAGAGTATCTCACATTCCACCTGGCCTGTAATTATTATGATTTATAACCTACCTCCATGGCTATGTATGAAGCGTAAGTACATGATGTTATCTATGTTAATTTATGGCCCTAAACAACCAGGGAATGACATAGACGTATACCTGACACCTCTAATCGAAGACTTAAAGAGTTTGTGGGAGAACGGTGTGGAGGTTTATGATGGATATAGGAAAGAAAGTTTCAATTTGAGGGCGATGTTATTTGGCACAATTAATGATTTCCCAGCATACGGAAATCTATCGGGGTATAACATTAAAGGTCAATGTACGTGCCCTATCTGTGAAGAAAACATAGATTGGACGCGGTTGGAATTTGGTCAGAAGAATGTCTTTCTTGGTCATCGTAGATTCTTAAATTCTAGTCATCACTACCGTGGGTGGAGAAAAGCATTCAATGGAAATTCAGAACAACGTAAAGCTCCACCTACATTGACCGACGAACAAATTTTTGAAAAGGTGAAAGATGTGAGTACTAAGTTTGGCAAGCCTTTTGATCATACGCTTGTCACGCGTGGGTGGAAGAAGAGGTCAATTTTGTTTGAGTTGCCGTATTGGAAGTCGTTGTATGTAAGACATTTTCTTGATGTTATGCATATTGAAAAAAAATGTATTTGAAAGTGTTATTGGTACGTTACTCAATATACAAGGAAAGTCTAAGGATGACCTTAAAGCAAGAAAGGACTTGGTAGCAATGGGAATAAGAAATGAATTAG